GCACGCATTTTCGGGCTCAAAGTTACACTTTTCCGCACTCAGTGCGGATACAGGCCTTATCCGCACTGAGTGCCGAAAAGTAATTATAATTGTCAAGCAACAATAAGTGCACCTGTCGACTTTGACACATGATGACAAATTTTTCCTCTGTTTCTATATCAGCCAACATCTATACAAACACCAAATATAAATTAACTTTGACACATTGTCAGATTTGTTCTTTATTTATATGCAAAAATCTACAAACTTTCTCATCAAATTTAAACGCTTTAAGATGAACAGCTCTGACGAGGATTTTCTGTTATGTAATTTTTTGATAAATGCATAGGTTCCCTTCAAGTTAATTAAAAATAATTAAACAAATTATCGTTTTTTTTTAAATTTTTGTTATAACCTACCTGATATGAAGCTCGTAGGAAAAATGTTGTTCCTAACACGTGCGCAAAGTGTCTTTTCCGCACGCAAACACGTATCCGAACTCCGCTTCGCGTCGTTCGTATAACTGTGTTTGCGTGCGGAAAAGTAACACTTTGCGCACTTGTTAGGAAAATAACTATTTCCTACAGCCGTGCGGAAAAATCGATTTTCCGCACTGATATGCGTGCGGAAAATGAGTTTTCCCGCACGGTGCGGTAAAACTTTTACCGCACGCATATCAGTGCGGAAAAAGTTTTTCCGCACGGCTGTCAGTGCGGAAAAAATTTTACCGCACTGATCTGTCAAAAAAAAAAAGAAAAATTTCACATTTTTACGCCTGTAGGAAAAATATTGTACCTAACACTTGCGGAAAATATTTTTCCGCACTCGGCTGCATCACCGAACTCCGCTACGCGTCGTTCGGTGAACGGCAGCCGCGTGCGGAAAAATTCATTTTCCGCACTTGTTAGGTAAATAGCTATTTCAGCGAAATCCCCCACTCCCATCTATTTCCATGCACAAGTGCATTTCAGTACCATGTTATCTAACTGATGATAACAATGCAAGACGGTGTAAAATGATTTGATGAAATAGGCCTCGTATCCCGTACTACTATGCATTTATCAAAAAATTACATAACAAAAAAAAATAACAGAAAATCCTTGTTAGAGCTGTTCATCTTAAAGCGTTTAAATTTGATGAGAAAGTTTGTAGATTTTTGCATATAAATAGAGAACAAATCTGACAATGTGTCAAAGTTAATTTATATTTGGTGTTTGTATAGATGTGGGCTGATATAGAAACAGAGGAAAAATTTGTCATCATGTGTCAAAGTCGACAGGTGCACTTATTGTTGCTTGACAATAGGGTACTTGCATGAACAATTAAATTGATTATTGTTTATTGCAAACTGTAGGAAATCGAAAAAAAATCGATGCGTGTTTTTCTATTTTGTCCAAATATGATTATTTCGGAAGTTATAACAAATATTGAGTTATATATATATAGATATACTGAGCATGTGCGACGTCACAACTCACAACGTATTATACCTAAGTTATGACGTCGGAAGGACATTTCAAAGCGTTGTATCTCCATCAATTTTTGACTCACAAGAAAAAGAAAAAACACGTGTTGACTTATTTTTCATGGACTATCGAAATCCGCAATAAAAAAATTTGATGCAAGGAGCCTATTATAATTACTTTTCGGCACTCAGTGTGGATAAGGCCTGTATCCGCACTGAGTGCGGAAAAGTGTAACTTTGAGCCCGGAAATGCGTGCGGAAAAGTACTACTTTGCGCACGCTCGTAGGAAAAAGTTTTTCCGCACGGCTGTTAGTGCGGGAAAAATTTTACCGCGCTGATATGTCAAAAAAAAAAGAAAAATTTCACATTTTTACACCTGTAGGAAAAATATTGTACCTAACACTTGCAGAAGATATTTTTCCGCACTCGGCTGCTTCACCGAACTCCGCTACGTGTCGTACGGTGAACCGAAAAATTCATTTTCCGCACTTGTTAGGTAAATAGCTATTGAAATCAAAGTAATATCAAGGAGCACGATTGCCGATGTCATCAATCGCAAAGGGAAAGAGGCATACTAGATCTGAAAAAGATTCGTTTTTGATATGTTAAATATTGTGCAAAAATCATGTATGCAAGCAAAAGCCATTGGAATCATACCTTGTGGTTCAAACAGCCTACGTCAAGGCGAGAAACGACTGTGAAATGCTGTGTACGTCACAACTGGTAATTTGGCGTGGTGGGGGGCTTCAGATTTGTTCCACACACACAAGCCTTATGAGGATAGGCTATCCTGTAGTAGTAGTATTGGAAGTTGAAACAGAGCTAATAATTTCGTGCGCTCTGACACAGCGTTTAATTACTCTGTGCACTTACTGATCACGTGATCATAGCTCCGTTTCAGCACACTCTGGGGCGAGTTCAGAAATAACACACCGGGTGTGAGTGCGATTTTATGGGTGTGACTAAAATGACAATTCTTAGGCGACAACTTTCGTATGAATTTCTGAACGCTTGGTGTGACCAATCGAGCATCTCCTCAAAAATTTCACCAAATCTATTAGGATTACTTTTTTTTGTTGTTCATTTTTTTAATTTGAAGGAAAAACTTTAATTCTTATTTGTGTTTTGTTTAAGGCGGTTACACACGGACGTGGATGTCTGAAAACATGTACGCACATACATGAACGCTCAAACAAAAACATCAATGTGTATGCAAAATACCGTCGCGTTTTTGAATGTGCAATTTTGTATGCACACTCGGAATACTGTGGCAAGAATAGCAAGACTGCAGTTTTGTGCGAGCGTCTGGACAAAGGCGCCATGCACGTTGTTGTTTGCACGTTGATGTATAGTTTGGCAAGTGGTAACTTGGTAGAGACGAAAGGGGGAAGAAAAGTGGGGCGTAACCTAAGAATATTCACTGACACCTCAACTGACACCGCCTGATGACAACCTTGTCTTTGGCACAGATTAACCCGTCCTAAAGATAGGAAACTTCCATGTAAAATGTTCGTTCAGAGCTGTCTAAAAAATAACACGTTTGAGAGTTTCATGACTGCCAAAGCTATGCGGCGCTAGTATACAAAGCCACAAGCAAATGTCATCTGTGAACTGTGAATGGTGAATATAATTTGTCAATGTGTTTGTCATCAGTTAGCCGTTTGATCTGTGTTAGTGTTGTCTTTTATTTAATTTCCTATCAATTTTTGATAAAACTTTGACTTGTTATTATGTTTTTAAAAAAAGAGACTTTATGTTACATTCAAACATAGTGGAAATGCTCGTGGAAATGGGATTAGTGATGGTTTTTATTCGCCATTGTTTGACATTCACATGAAGTGTGATTTGTGCACCAAATAAGACCAAAATTCCTAAAAATATACCTTCATTTAGTATAGGTATTACTGCAGTGGAAGCTTCTGAATTCATGACATCGCCACTTTATTCTCAGAGACTTTGCTGAGTGTGGAGTTAGTGAATTTTATTTGCAGTATTATAAACTTTTTATTGTTTTTTTTTTCTATACCTACGTTTTTCTATTATGCTGTTCTAATAAAGAAGGAGATAGTACTAAAATGTTGTTTTATTTCAAAAAAAAAAACAGATAATAAAATGAAATCGATTAGGGACAAATTATTTGAAAAAAGGCGGGGAACCACGTGACTACTGCTACAACACTGAACACACTGAAGTACAGTGACTCTATAACCCACAGTGGCGACAAATTACTGTCTCATTTTTGATTGGTTCTAAAATCCCATATATTTATATTGAAAACACCGCCATCTTGTTCCCAACCCCTTGTTACTTTTAAATATGAATATATGGGATTTAGGTGAACATCCATCATAAATCATGGAAAACAACGTATTTGATGGACCTAATAATGGTTATCAAATACGTCGATTTCAATTTTTTATGATAGATGTCCATTTAAATCCTATATATTAATATTTAAAAGTAACAAGAGGTTGGGAACAAGATGGCGGCGGGACCTCTATTGTCGCCACTGTATGTAAAGGGCCGAGATTCTAAAATCACGATTCGACACACGACTCGACAACGATACCGGCCTTGTCGTCTCGAATGGTATAATTCCAAGGAGATTTCTAACCTAGAATCGTCGGAAAAATCGTCTCGATGTCGAGTCGTATGTCGAATCGTGATTTTAGAATCCCCGGCTATAGAATCCCCGGCAAGGTTTATTTAGCCACTGTACACTGAAGTGCACACTAGCGCCCCCATGCTGTGGCAGTCATACAACTCGTTGTATGAGTAAGACAAGGATAGGGGAAAAGGCACGAGTTTCCTATCTTTAGGACGGGTTAATCTGTGGTCTTTGGGTTCAGTGGCACCGAAAACACCAAGGAAATAAACCAAAAAATTATTAGGAAAAAAATTCTTGAGTTTCACGAATAACCACGCCACTGGTGCTGTCATTCAGGCTCTAACCAATAGAATCATGCCTCTGAATAATCACGCCTCTCTGCTTCCTTCATTTCGAAATGTTGCCGGATTTTTTCCTATTTCAAAATACTACACGGCCCATATTGCAAAAAAAAATATGTCACCAACTTGTTTATTATTGTTTCTGTCAAGTTTGGCATAGCAGCAAATTCTTTTTGAGTTCGCCGTTTGGCTAGCCCAATGGGCTAGCCAGACTATATGCACGTATATGTATTAAGCCATCCACGTCCGTGTGTAACCGCCTTTATATTTGGTGGGATTATTGAGATTATGGTAGGAATGGTTGACATTGTTGACATAAAGACACAATCGCACCGCAGCCACACCAAAAAATTATGGTGTGACCGGTGCGACACCTGAAGCGCGCCCAAAGTACTTTCTGAACGGCAAAGAGTGCGCGCACCCGGTGTGCCTATAGCATTTATGAACGGCTAGTGCGTCGCACCGGTGTCACACTCACACTGAGTGTGTCATTCCTGAACTCGCCCCTGCTCTTTGAGCAAAATATCGAACGCAAGCTATGGAGCGGCTAATAGACAAAGTTTGGCATCGCTGTACTCGACCAACGACAATATGACAATTGACATTTTTGTTGTTTGTTTTTGTTTTTTGTATTTATTTGAATCTTGTAAAAAGAGAGGTTTTTGTGTGGAAGTTACGAAATAAATGGTTTTCCCAATTATTCAGGTGAGAGAAATCAATTTTGTATTGCATTAGGTGTAAGTCATTATGGTAGGTATTAATAGTATGGTCTAATTGTAGCCTACGGGTGTAATGTAATCAAGAGTGTATGACATAGCCGGCCGGTGAGGGCAAAATCATTATTTCAGTTTTTGTAAATTCGAAAGCATTTTAAATCAGTCTGCAACCCTGCCAAGAGTACAAAGGGAATAAAATATGGTATTGAATTGGATTTTTATTCTCTATTTTATAATGCATAAATTGAAATTTGATCCCGTTGTCAAGAGGTTGTTTATTTCTGTTGTCAAGCATTTGTTTTATAGTTTGTCAAGCGTTTGTTTATTTCCATGGTGCGTTTATTCCTTAGTTGGGAGGAGGAGAAATACCCTATAGGTAAAGTGTTTTTAAATTCCTTTATTTATTTATTTATATATTTATCTATTTGCCGAGCTATTTGCCAACAACTAACAATTTGTAGTTACTGTGTGTGCATGCGAGTTGTACGACCAGGCCACAAAGCACCAGTTTGCGCCCTTATTTGAGTGCTCAGTTTGATACTTTTCGGTGTAGTGTTAGATCCCTTTATTTATTTATTCATTTATTTATTTGTTAACAAGTAACAATTTCTAACTAAGTTACTGTGTGTGTGTGTGTGTGTGCGAGTTGTACGAGCCGCAAAGCACCAGTTTGCGCCCTAATATGAGTGCGCAATTTTGGAAAAATTATTTCGCCAAAAATAGCCTAAATGTGTAGCCTACACACAAACATTGGGACAAATTTGCTTTAATGTTGCATTGAAAAACTGACACAAGACGGATAACTTGCAACATTGGTGTAAAGGTGCGGTTTCCCTGACGCGTCTGGCGGTGGCGACTGATCGCTGCGTCTTGTGCAACCTCAGACGCAGCCGCCGGTCACGGCGACAAGTGGTTTGGTTGGCGCGTCTCATCGAAGTTTAAAAATAAATTTATAACATGTGCAAGGGGTATCTTAAGGTTTTGGTTTCTGTCTGATAACAAAGAAATAGGTAATATCCTCTGTTTAAAATTTAGCTATTTTTCCTACAAAATTGGCCTAACAGTGTGTCTAGACTGGTCTACCTAGCAGTCGAGTCGCGAACGCTGCGACTGGGTTGCTAGTGGCCGCGACTGAAACGCTCCAGCGGAACCAGAAGTACACAATCGCATTAAAGCAGTCGTTCAGATGCGAACGCAGTCGCGAGTCGCCGACGCCAGACGCGCCAGCGAAACCATACCTTTAACATTGTCGCCAACACCCAAATCTCGATTCACACATTGGACAAGCCTCAGGACAAGAGTTGTTGGCGCCTTCATTGGCTCTAATCTAATGTGCGGTCCGGGCCTAATTGAATGTAAGTTTGGTTGCTGACTGAAAATGCTTGGCTACGCCTCATACTTAATTTCTACACGGGCCACAAACATCCTATTTGCACTCTTGCTACATAAATAACTTTTGCAGCCCTCGCTCCGCTTATTAATTATTGTTATGGAATAAATGGTTTTCCCGATAATAATCAGGTAAAAAATGTTTTAACTCTTGGATTATATTATTCTATAAATTTAAACATAAATCAAGGAGATGTATTATTAATACTGTTTTAATCAGGTCTGTATGCAGTGGCGGCTCGTCAGAGGAGGCAGGGGAGGCTAAGCCTCCCCAAAAAAATTGAAAATTAAATCTCAATATTTTATTCCTAATTCCTATTTAATATTATAATTCACAAATTACACTTTCCAAATTTCGATATTTTAATATAATTTGGAACAATCTGACAACATTATTTCAAACAATTTTGCGCCTCCATGACAAAAATCTGTTCCTTGCCTGCAATTTTCCCATTAGAAGTCGACTGGAGGCTTGACTCTCATATGCTTCCCTGAAATCTAGCATTCAAATGGACCGCGAATCGCAGCGACCAATAGAAATGCCGGAAACACGTGGAACCATTCCTGGCGTTCAGACACCATCGGGTCGCGGAGCGGCTAGCCGCAACCTTTGATCGCAAGGTTGGAAACTGCCATCATTGCTTTTTTATCTCTTTTTTATGCATTCAGAGTTCCATGTCACTTTTCTATTCGGAAGTCGTAGATTGTTGACAGGGATGCTATCAGCACTAACAAAATTGTACCAGAAAGTAGGGAATAATTGTACTAGATTGGCGACATTGTGTACTAGCTGAAAGCCCATCAAATTTTGAAATTTGAATACAAATGTAGACTTTGCTAAATGAGGGTAAATATCACTTGTTTTAAGGTCGGTTCCTCAAGAGAGCGAGTCACCTCAGTCAGCTGCGGGTCGGTTTTAACTCTAGACGTGTCCAGTTGCAATGTTTACCTAGAGTTATCCTTAACCTAGAGGTGACTCGCTAGTCGCTATTGGGTCCCGAATCACCTGAATGATAGAAATAAATAAATTTCCACATATTTAGTTATAAATCGACTACCAATTACCATGATCCGCTGAATTACCGAATAACCACCTATAATGTCTGCCCAGCGACTCTGTGTCTACGGGGCAACGGTAAGGGGAATGCAGTTGTAAAAAAAAATGGCTGATTTCATTCATAAAATACCCAGCTGCGTGCGGAACTTTTTGGAAATGTTATCGTATTGCAACTCGTTCACGAAAATCGACAATGACCAAACCGCCGCCACTGAATATTTCAATATAAATCGATATTCCAAGATGGGAGGATAAAATGACAAGGGCCCTGGCCAATAGCGAGACGTAAGGTGACGTTAGCCCACTGACAATTGCATGGTTGCCCGTGGCAATGGCAATCCTGCCAAAAACTCCACCAATCAGGTTCATCCAGGCCGGATCCTTGCCAAATTGTCAAAAGCTGATGGATTCTTTAGGAAATGTTTATTTTTTACAATAGACAAAATTGAAGAAATCAGTTATTAAAATAAGCATAGATCTAACAACCACGTTGAAATATTTAGCGTTTTATTGTTATCTACATTTTGTTATTAAAAAATGGATTTTCAAATGAACTATACTTCATGCCTAGTATTCTCGCTTTTTTTATAATTAAACGTGGCAACATCGCACATTTACGTCCGAATTCCTTTCGTAGATTCAGATCCGCTGGGCAAACAATACATAACTCACATCAAGTCACAGAATAAAAAACTACTCCACCATCAAATTCTGGGATACTCGAGGATCAATAACAGTAATAACACTTAATTTGTTCTGTGAGAACAGATCGAAAATCACCTTTTCTACATTTTAAATCGACGAAAAAATTGAATAGCCTGAATCGCAAGTATTCGATCGAGGTCTGCGGGTGACGTCATCGCTATTTTCTGCTGATAGGCCCAGAATTTGATGGAGAGGGAGTAAGGAAAGTATGACACAATTGATAGTGGGACCTGGAACGTGAAACCCAACCCACAAGTAGAAAGTGGAGCGCAGAACTCGGGTGCGGTACAGAGCGAAGAACGACACTCGACTCGTAATCCAAATTGTACTAGATTTATGAGAGAGATACTAGCGTACTAGGTGAAACGTGATTGTGCTAGATCTAGTACAATTGTACTAGAAATAGCATCCCTGATTGTTGATTGATATTTTTTGTCGTCAGTCGTCAGGTGCATTTCAAATTATTGTGCAATTGTGTATCTTTATTGGATTTTATATAGGTACCTATGTATTTTTATTTTTTTTCAAAATGAATTTTTTAGCGTTAAAACGAATTAAAACTTACTCTCGAAGTACCATGTCCCAAAACAAACTAACTAACGTATCTTTTGTTTCAATTGAAAAAGAATTTGTATCCAAAAATGTGCGAAGATGATTAGTTTTATGAAGAAGTACCTAATATTTAGATTATTTCGCGAATAAAAAAAACCTCGAAAAAAACCGACGAATTCCGCTCATTGATCAAAACGAAAAAGGAGTACTTCAGTACCTAATTTAATATAATTTATTTATTGCATTAAAAAGAAAAATTTCTGTTTTTCCAGCAGACGCGTGGTAGAAATCCGTCGTGTTTTTCTACCACACACTTCATTATTTATCCAATCTACCTCAAAATTTGGGGCATATTTCGGAAAATATGATCTATTGACGAAGAAGAGTTCTTTAGTTTATCAGATAGTCCTGAAGAAATTGATAGTTCACCTCTCAGGTTAATTACTCAGCATGCGAATATGGAAAATATATACTTATGATGTTTCTTTTCTTGAGCATTTATGGTTTTTATTGAATTTCAGATAAATTCTTGAGGACGTAGACACTTAAAAAAAAAAATTGCCTGCTGCCAGTGGTTACCGTAGTTCATTATTATTTTTAGCCTCCTCACTTGAGACACCTTGTGATTTGTGAATGGACCTTTCTCATTTCACCTGTGCTGCGCGCGCATCTTGTGGGTGACAGATAATTAAATCGTCAATTTACTGAACACGGTCTGACCCTGACGTATATAAGCTAACCGCAATAATCAATCAGTATCAATCAATATTGCTGAAACTTAATACAAAAACTGTTTATGATACAATGGTTCAAATGAGTTGAATGAGTTCTTGTCAGAATTAGGCGAAAAAGAAGTGAAACCTTTCTTTTCACAAGTTCCCAAGCAATCAAATTGTAAGAAAACAATAGTTACGTGCTCTCAACCCGAATGAAGACGATTTAAGTTGGGACAGAGATTTGAGGGTTCGTAAAATAACGATTTTTATATCAAATACAATAATAATGTAGAATTAAAGGTTTGCTGCAAACATTTTTGCTGCGGTGGGTTTTCTTTCTAATTAATGTTAATACGTATTTTGTCATATTTACGTTTAAAAATAAACAAAAACAGAAACATAACCGAAATTGCACAATTTGACAAGTGGAACCAATCAAACTCATTCCACACAGGTATCGCGCGTCATTATATGTGTCTTTTTCTTTATTGCAGAAATCTTAATAAACTATCCTTGTTGTTCATTGCATGAGAAAGGTCCATTGTGATGATCATCATCCTGCCTAACTTTCTGATGTAAATGTCAATAGTCCAAACTTTGTTCAGCATAATAATGTGGAGTTTCGATATAATTTTTGAAACTGTGATTTTAGCAGTCTCAATGATATGTATAGGGTGGCCCAAATTTGAGCCTCATCATTGGGATCTCGGTAACTATAAGAGATACAGGGTCGGTTGAATTATGGCAAAGTTGCGTAATTTTATGACCAATAGAATGCCGTTTTGAAATTAGAAATATTCTGAATACTTCCGGAGATATTTGGAAAAACCGAAATTTTGTAAAATCGTTTTTATTTTTCCCTGGGCTTATTTGAAAAGCAATTTTAAAATAAAGGTCACTTCATCATTGCCACTTTTTCCCCTTTAGAAGATGGTGCTACTAACAAAAAAAAAAAAACAGGTCCATATTAAAAAAAAAAATTGATGAGGATTCCAGAGGAACGAAACGTTGGATTTCAAATTTGATACGGCCATCTTGTAGAGAAGAAAAAGTGACAATGAGAATGTGAAATTAGTTTTTCAAAATCTTGTTAAATGAAATCAGGAAAAAATTTGAAAACTACAAGAAGTTCATGTTTTTTTGTTATAGTTTTGCTTTTTTCCTGATTTTATTTAAAAATATTTTGAAAAACTAATTTCACATTCCCATTGTAACTTTTGCTTCTCTACAAGATGGCGGTATTAAATTTAAAATCCAACGTTTCGTTCCTCTGGAATCATCATCAATTTATTTTTTTTTAAATATGGACCTGCTTTTTTTACTGTGCTATTGAAAAATTATAAATATTATCGGTTTTAGGATGCCCAAAGATGAGAAAATCGCAAATAAAAACTCCAGGTCCGAATTTAAAAAAAGTAAGTTGATGATGACTGCCTGAAGACGAAACGTCGAATTTCAAATTTAGTAGCGCCATCTTCTAAAGGGGAAAAAGTGACAATGATGAAGTGACATTTATTTTTAAATTGCTCTTCAAATAAGCCCAGGAAAAAATAAAAGCGATTTTACAAAATTTTGGATTTTTCCGAATATCTCTGGAAGTGTTCGGAATTTTTCTAATTTCAAAACGGTATTCTATTGTTCATAAAATGGCACAACTTTGCCATAATTTAACTGACCCTGTATCTTTTACGCTTTCCGAGATCCCAATGATGAGTCTCGAATTTGGGCCACCCTGTACATATTTTGTTGAATATTGATTGGGATCTCATATTGGATTGTGATGCAGATATAGCTTGGATTTTAAATTCCCTATTTGATATGATCAAGAGCTTCAAAACTATACCATACAAAAGAAAAAATGTCAAAAGCTGTACAAATCTAACCCTTCACCCTACTTTGACTAATTTAAGAGGAATGCAAATTATTTGCAAGAGTTTATCTCGAAGTTGTCATCGGAATTACATAAATGAACTGGAACAGAATATTAGAAACAATGTTCGAGCTATCTGGAACTATGTAGATTCAAAGAAAGATCAATGAAAAATCCTGGATTTAATGAAAACTGGAACTAGAGAAATTTCAAATGACACAGAAATTGCTAATGTTTTTGCCGAATATTTGTTGTTTATGTTGATAAAGATGTAAATGTCCCAGACAGCAACTTAACCACAGGTAGCTCTTTCAATTTTAGTATAGTATGTCAAACATTCTTGAAAAGTTGCGAAAAAATAAATTTGAACCAGGGACCTGGACCTCTATGGCTACTTTTCAACAATTCATTATTAACTGGAAAATTTCCCGCCATATAGAAAATAGGGACATAAAGCTTCCATATTTTTTGCTCGGTATCCGTATCGGTATCGTACTGCGCATGTGCAGAAGCGATACGGAGGCCGAGATACCGTACGTATAACGTAACGTTACGGCCCTCTCGCGGTATCCGTATCGGTAACGTATCTTGACATTCCTGACGCATGAGTCAAATTTTAAATGAATATAACCTAACTTTTCTTCCGTGTTGATTTAATTTGTTTAGTTTATACTTTCTTGAGTTGCTTGTGTGTTTAGTGCTTCTCTATCGCAAAAACAAATAAGAATTTTAAGGTTAGATATAAAAACGCCGGAGTTTTGAGACAAAAATTTCTAGGTTATGAGATGCGTTTACGTTTACCGGAACAGGGAGTTTTCAAAATCCTTAACGAAAGATATATTGTTGGCCCAGCGGTTCTGAGTTTATGGAAGGAATTCGGACGTTAATGTGCGATGTTGCCATGTTTAATTACAGAAAAGCAAAAATACTAGGTATGAAGTATAGTTCATGGGAAAATCCATTTTTTAATAACAAAATATAGATAACAATAATGAAACGCTAAATATTCTAACGTGGTCGTTAGATTTATTCTTATTTTGAGAACTGTTTCCTTCAATTTTGTTTAATATAAAAAATAATCATTTTCCATAGAGACCATCAGCTTTTGTCAATTTGGCAAACATCTGGCCTGGATGAACCTGATTGGTGGAGTTTTTGACAGTCTCGCTATTGGCCAGGGCTCGCTATCCTCCCATCTTGACATATCGATTTATTTGAAATATTCAGTGGCGGGGGTTTGGTCATTGTCAATTTTCGTCGAGATTTTCGTGTACGAGTTGCAATACAATATTATACTTCCAAAAAGTTTCGCAGGCAGCTGGGTATTTTATGAATGCAATCAGCCATTTTTTTTTTCAATTGCATTCCCCTCGCCGTTGCCCCGTAGACACAGAGTCGCTGGGTAGATATTAGGTATTTCCTACAAGTTACATTTGAATAAACTATGGCAATCTTGAACAAACTCTATCCCGACTCTATCCGTTCAAAGTCTTAAAAGAAGTAGGGATACGACATTATTACTTCTTTTAAATTGGTTGATAATGCACTGAACTTGTTTCTAAACTTCAATTTTATGATCCACAAAGAATTTTTAGAAATGATAGAACTTTTGAGGCAAATTTCCATTGCACTCTGTTAGGGTGATTATTCTCCCCATGTCAAGATTAATGAAGAACACAAATTCATTTGGGGGTGATATTTTTAATGAATCTTTATTTTCTTCGAAAACAAAGTTTAAGAGGATGGAACTTTTCTAAATGTGATACTAGTTTGTGTTGTTTTTATAGAAGTACATTTTTGTTTTTTTTTTTTTTTTTCTCGTTTTGTATTTAATACCAATTTTATCTTAGTTATTAAGTAGATATTTAAGTTATGGGTTATTTTACTTGAAATTCTGTAACTGATTGGGTTATACTCGTTTGCTTGAAATAATAGTTATTAATGATACAAGTTCGATATGAACGCCATAATGAAACGCGTGTAACGTTAAACCACGAGGCGTCAGCCGAGTGGTTTAGTTACACAAGTTTCATTAATAAAGTTCATATCGAACGTGTATCATTCAAAATTTAATCTACAATGGTTCAAATAGATTTGATTTGCCTTGAAATAGCAAAAACTTTTCAAATTAAAATTTGAAATTTAGCAGGTGCCCGTACAAGTCGAGAACCTGCTTGTTGGTTTTTAGAATTTTGACTTTGGCAGCTTCAATATTGGAGTCCATTTTTGTGCCATAAATTCAATTTTATGGTGGAAAATAATATTATTATTGGTGAATCTGAGTTCGAAAGTGTCTCTTCGAATATAGAGACAGCATTATTGAAAAGGTTCTTCTGGCAACTAACTTTCTTTTTTTATATTTTTCATTTCAAAATTTGGGTGTTATTATGAATTCTTAAACGCACTAGTGCTATTATGAAGGACCTAATGACATTCAAATGACAATGCAAAATGTGTCATAATGACACCGACGTAGATTAATAAATAAATAGCCGCCTATTCGAGCTGCTTGCGACTCTTTGGAGGCACAATTCCACTTCTACTATTTCCAATGGGATTTGAGCATTAAATATACACAAGTAAAATAATTCATAGTATGCACCTGCTTGATAAATACTATAGAGGGTGTACCATTTAAAACGAAACAGGCTAAATATCTGATGCCACATATAGTTTTAAGTCCCTCAGATTAACACATAAAATAGATAAGTTTATTATAATTAGAAACTGCCCTAAACATTGAATCCCATTCTAAGATCACTTGCGGACACTCACTGCAGATCTGTTATATTTATAAATTGTCCCGAATTGCAAGGAAAATGATATTGGAAGCGCTGAAAATGTTGCAAACACTCACACAATCAAATTACTTGTACGAGCGATTTAAAAAAATAAAAGTGCTATCAGATATTTGCCTGTTCCGTTTTAAATGGTATACCCTGTACTCGACCCTGTATAAATAAATTTTCTCAAATTATTGCTTTCATCAGTTCATATCATGGGTACAACTTAAATTGCTGACAACGTTGTTTCACCATGGAATTTTACGAGTTGTGAAATTCAAACAAATTTTTATCATGTCCTTTCCCGATAGCTTTGCAGCCATAGTCAATGGTTGTCTAATTTTAGTAATTTTTCATTTGTGTATGGGTCTCCCTATTAAAGCATATTATTAATTATTATTTTTTACTTTTTAGCTGAATACATTATTTGATAACCTGGACCATGGACGACCTATCACCATTTCCATTGAGCCAACAAAGTTCGTCAATGTTACTGGGACCAAATGTCCCGAACATTCCCGTAAAGGAGATTTTATTGAGGTTTATGGATCAACTAGACAATTGTCTTGTCAAGGTAAGATTTTAATTTAATGCAAAATAGGTACGAACTTTTGCTTGGATAGGTAGATACATCTTTAAAAAAAAAAAAAGTACTTCACAGATGTGTATTGTACAATTTCTTATTTGATTTTATTTATTCCTATGCCTCCTTATTTTATACTGTCATATGGATTTTTGGTAAATATTGTATTTATATTTATTTCTAATGTGAACAGAACAGCTTTTTTGAAACCTCAATCATCTCACGGTGGTTCGGCCATGTTACTTCACCCTACTAGTGGTGACGTCATGTGCCATTTCTAGGACTGAAATTTATGAAATATCATTATTAATATTATAGTTGTATTTGATCATTATTTGATATTATATTTTGATAGATATATCGATTAAATGTCGCTCCAAGTTGGGGAGAAATCAAGGAGCTGCAAGTGTCGTTGAAATACCTGAGGGGAGTAGTAGTTCCCTGGGATTTATACAAACTTTATATGAAATCAATCTTGGACTATATTGACATTGTGATGCAATTTATAGCTGGCTATTATAATTATTTGGACTTTCAAAAGCAAATGCACCATACGTCCGCATTACTCTCATCTGTTTCGGTAAGTTAATTTACTTAATTGGTGTCTAAAATGATTTTTTGGGCGGATGTAATTTCGACCGGAATATGTACAGGTACTTAAAGGGGACATGTAAATTCGACCAGTGGTTTAAGGGTTTGATCTTATGTTATGAGTATTTTCGACCCAAAGGAGCAGGTAGGTATTTTCCAGTCTATGAATGGTAAATAATTGATAAAAGTATTTCGTACAGAAAGAAAATGTGCTATCCATGTATATAACATCCATTTCACACAAAGTGATATTTGTATGGCAAGAAAATATCGGGTCTTCAAAAAAAAAAACATCTAAGATTGCTATGGTTTTTTAAACGTATGTCAAGCAATATTTTTATTTAATTTTCTCAATGAACTTTAATGTCAAAATGATTTGTCAATAATACTGTCCAATAAATAAACAGTAATGCGACGTACGTTTTCGTAATCAAAGCAATCTTCGATTGGTATTTTTTTTGAAGACCCGATACAATGATATTTTCTGCTGAACTATTGATAAACAAAAAAATTTTCACCCGTTGTCGTTTTTAGAGAATACATGTCAACTACAGTATGTACTTCATGAATATCTTTAGGCAGGGCTGGCAAGATCTTACGACGACTGTTATAGACATTTCTTCTTATAAGATTTATATCCATGGCCATCAATTCCTCCGATAAATTTGTTGAAAGGACGCTTTTTATAATCTTCGAAGGTTTTTCCGATATGTCTTCCTGGGCTTTTCTCTTGCATGAAGCTGTAACAATTTTTCCCTGCAAAGAACCCTCGGTCGAAATTACTTATGTCAATAAATGGGCCTCTTGCTTTGGGCAGGTAGGCGAGGGGATTACCGGTCGAAATTACGCCCGCCGGATTTTTTAACTATGCATTAACTATGAAGCGCTATAGTGGCTTATGGTTTATAAGACATTCTCTTATAACATCAGCGCAAAACGTCAGGAAATAAAAAATTATAAATCCTGCTTTAAAGCAGACTCATTCCCAAAAAATACCTGTTAGTTTTTATAACAAACAAAGAGCCTTACCTGAAGGTTTAAGTTGAACATTTCACAGAAGTTTAAAACATCTTGGATGTTGATTCTTCAAGTTGCCAAAGATTTTTTTAAAACTTGTATGAAATTTTTTTGACAGTTCTAACAGCCAGTTAAAGTTTGTTATTTATTGTCATGTGATACACATCACCCAATCATGTCAACATTACACTGGAAACAGCCCTAGGGTTTTTTCACTCTATGAAATTGCCTCAAAAATTACTGTCAAAAAATTCTCTATCCGAATAACCCTCGAACATTGATAAATGCTCAAAAATTTTATAACAATCTTTGCAAGCTTGTTGCTCATAGCTCAAGCTCAAGCAATAAGCTTTCGAAATCTGTCATAAAATTTTTTTGTACAATTATCAATGTTCTTTGGCTATCACTACTGATAATAATCTGCTCTAGAATTTCATATTATTTTTGTTTGTTTAATTTTAATTTAGGCTTGGATGTCTCAGTACTTTGTGTTGTCAATAATTTTAATATATTTTAGGCACTTTTTCGAGAAGAAACGTGTTGTGGTATATTTCTACAAAGGGCGGCAACTAAAATTTTTGATTTGGTATTAATTGATGACCAACCAATAATTCTAAAAATCCAATTGCTTTGTATGTTGAATGATATCATAATTATTGCCAATCTAGATGTCCGGATGAAAACGGGAAATCAGAAAATTGAATATTTGTAAATCTTTATAGTTTTAAATATTAATAACAAAACTGAAAAATGGTAAATTTTCAGGTACCGGTTATTTGATTGGCTCTCTACTTTAGGGGAATATCTAGCCCAAATTACCGTGATGAAATTAATAACTAATATATTTGCAGAAAATATTAAGGGGCTCAAATATTGTCCAGTGCCTGGGCGTGAGGAGTTAGGACGAGAACTAATTAGTAAATATTTTTTTCTTATGAACATCAAGTTGAAATTTTCTTTCAATGTACTTTTCAGATATTAATAGAAGTAATATACATAGTGAGGCAAGAATATGGCTCAATAAATTCAATGAAAATAGCAACCTAATTTGTTCTTTTGCTTACGAAACAATACATGTAGGCAACATAAATTGTGAATGTCCAAATGAGGTAGTGTAATCAAAATGAGATTATCGTCCCAGGGACCCTATTCTGTGAAAATATTGTGTGCAAAATTTGATATAATTTCGATTAATTTGTATTTCTTTCGAATCCAGATCCAATTTTGCAAGATTTTAATAGAACAGGGGCCCTGAAGTATGTTTTTGTTGTAACTCATTGTTTGATATTTTTTACAGGGCGATTTCAAATATATTGATTTTAATATCAAAGAAAAACTTGTGAGTTTTTATACCAAGATTTCGGAGGATAATTGGAATCGCGTATTTATTATTGTAAATCGTGTAGATACAGTTGAAATACAGAGGTATTTGAAATTTCTATATTTATAAGTTCTATAAAAAAAAATTCATATATTATAGGTCGAACTCCTTCATCATTCTGACTATAGTGCAAACAAATAATGCTTACGTTAGCCAGAATATCTCCCTGCAAGCACAATGGAATAATGTAGATCCACCAATGGAGATATTATTAATAAACACTGGTATTATGGATAAATTGAAGCTTATTTTGGGGCAGATATTTGGAGACAAATTTTTGGTAAAAATATTTCTCATTTCATTAGTGAAACAGTTTTGCTCTTTCTGGGCGGGGCTGGACTAAATAATTGAGAGTACTTAAATAATGAAACCGTGGAAATACCCAATGAAAATTAGAGGCTCACAAACACACAACACACTAATGATTTAATAATGCAATCAAATTTACATTATTATTTTTCAGTACTCTCATGAAAGCGTGGAAGCACTGGAAAGGCGTTCTATGGCAGTTGAAGTAAGTAATTTCCTGAATTCATTATGGAAAGTATGACTAAGCTTGCTATTGTTGTTCTAGGATTCAATTTCAGAAGAGGAAGATAACAATATTGATATGGCCCGTGATCATCCTCCTATGTCATTAGTGAGTAGCTAACAAGTATTTTATTGTTCAAATTTTGTGCAAATAATCAATAGTACATAATGTCTGCCCAGCGAGTCTGTGTCTACGGGGCAACGGTAAGGGGAATGCAGTTGTAAAAAAAAATGGCTGATTTCATTCATAAAATACCCAGCTGCGTACGCAACTTTTTGGAAGTGTTATCGTATTGCAACTCGTACACGAAAATCAGCAATGACCAAATCTCCGCCACTGGATATTTCAATATAAATCGACATTCCAAGATGGGAGGATAAAATGACGTGAGCCCTGGCCAATAGCGAGACGTAAGGTGACGTTAGTTTATTGACAACCGTATGGTTCCTCATGACAACGGCGATCCTGCCAAAAACTCCACCAATCAGGTTCATCCAGGACGGATGCTTGCCAAATTGTCAAAAGCTATAGGGATAGATAGGGATAGATCTAACAACCACGTTATAGTTATTTATGTATCAAGGGAATTATAAGGGTGTTAATACCCCAGGGCAAAGTTTGTGTCCCGAGGGCCTTCGGCCCGAGGGACACCAATTGCCCGTGGGTATTAACACCTGATAATTCCCGAGGTACATAGATAATTTTATTTCCTACTGAATTAACTATATTTTGTCCATTTTTATAAAGAAATAAACCATAAACCAAAATTTCTATTTTTGTCAAAGTTTCACCTATTCAAGGTAAAAGCGGGAGTTATGGAAATCCTTAACTCCCTTGGGAGTTATGATATCCTTAACTCCCTTGGGAGTTAAGACCCTGTTTATGATTATCGTAACCAAGGTATTATATGGTTATAATAGTTCAGTAGGAATTAATAGTTATTTATGTATCAAGGGAATTATGCAGGTGTTAATACCCCAGGGCAACGTTTGTGTCCCGAGGGCCTCCGGCCCGAGGGACACCAATTGCCCGTGGGTATTAACTCCTGATAATTCCCGTGGTACATAGATAATTTTATATCCTACTGAATTTACTGTATTCTGTCTATTTTTATAAAGGAATAAGCCATAAATCAAATTTTCTATTTTTTGTCAAAGTGTTACCTATTCAAGGTAAAAGCGGGTGTTATGGAAATCCTTAACTCCCTTGGGAGTTATGATATCCTTAACTCCCTTCCTTAACTCCCTTGGGAGTTATGAAAATCCTTAACTCCCTTGGGAGTTAAGACCCTGTTTATGATTATCGTAACCAAGGTATTATATGGTTTTAATAGTTCAGTAGGATATAAATATTTTTATATCCCCAAGGGAGTTAAGGATTTCCATAACTCCCGCTTTTACCTTGAATAGGTAACACTTTCACAAAAAATAGAAATTTTGATTTATGGCTTATTCCTTTATAAAAATAGACAGAATACAGTAAATTCAGTAGGATATAAAATTATCTATGTACCACGGGAATTATCAGGAGTTAATACCCACGGGCAATTGGTGTCCCTCGGGCCGGAGGCCCTCGGGACACAAACGTTGCCCTGGGGTATTAACACCTGCATAATTCCCTTGATACATAAATAACTATTATTTGTCACTCATTTGTAAAACGTCACTTATCAAGTCAAAACATAACCAGTGAAAATTGATTTTTACAAGCTACTGGCTCTACTGACTTGTAAAATTGACAGCTAAACTGTAAAAACTTTTTATTTTCAACCACATATGTAATGTTGACATTGCAGGTTTTTCAAAATCTTGAAAGTGTCACATTTCTGGACTTTGACATTTATCGGGACGGTAATGCATATGCCTGCCTAGGACGGAAAAGCATTTTCCGTCCGGGACGGCAAATGCTTTTCCGTCCCCATTTCCCTGCTCGTTCCAAATTGATAATTTTCATACAGCTCTCACATATAATAATAAAACCACATGTATTACATGGAACTAATTAAATCTATTCACTTATTTACATTAATTGTTAAATTAGCATTGTTGTTTATAATGGAAATCTTGAGACCATCCTGTTGGAATTGTGTTTCGTTTGGAACTATTATCTCTTGCGCTTGCGGATGAGTTTCCGCATGTGATGTACTTGTGGATGCACTGGACAACTGAATACCTTTGGAAGTAGAGGATAGCATCAGAGCAGTCTTACTTTTGTTCTCCAAAGATGCCTCTATGTAGCCTTCAGCAACCGTGCTCGATTTCCACCCTCCCAGTCTTTTGAGTTGCAATAGATCGGCCCCGTTGTCAACCAATAAGGTTGCGGAAGTACGACGAAAAGCATGCCCTGTAAAAGTTTCAATTTTTGGAAGCTTCAAAAAAGCAGCTATTTTATGTGGAAATTTTGAGATTGAATGATAGCCAATTGCTTGGTTATGTAATTTCCCATTTCGCCATTGAACAAATAACCTGTCATTTTTCAAATTTTTCCGCAAAGTGAGGTATTTGTGGAAAATAGAAACCCAATCTGGATCGCTTATGATAAACGATCGACTTGTGTAAGTTTTTGTGTGTGGAATTTCTATAGCGATCTTTCCTTCCAAAACGTTGACGTGCTCCATTTTCATCTTGACTAGTTCATCGCTCCTACATGCACCCGACACACCAACAATTAGCGCTACCTGAAACCAGATAAAAATAAAATGGGTAACCTAGCTATAGCATACAGAAAATCATTTTGATTTTCGCATTTTTATCTTCTTTGTATATTTTTTGAAAACCTACCTTGATGCTAATGAATTCTTCAGCTGCCTTCGTGAGGAACTCGTTAATGTTTTCTCTGGAAAAAACGCTCGACTTTTTCGGCTGAAAGCCCAGATTTTGCCGCTTCAAAAAAGCTATAAGTTTTGCGTAATTGGAGATATCAACTTTCTCTTTCAATTTAATCATGGTTTTCAACATACTGTAAGTCGACCATAAAGTCGAAGGCTTCTTTTCCTTAGATAATTCGCCAAAATACGCCAACAAAACGGTCTCCGAGGCAGTATTTCTCGTTCCTTTCTGGCTACACCATGCTTCGAATATTTGAAAAGCCTTTTCGTACCGAAATTTGCTTTTTGCTGGAAGCAAACTCTCTCCAATCCTGTCTGCTGCTTCTTTTAATTCAGGTGGGGTACAATCCATCGCTTCATCTTCACTTTCCGAAATCATTTCTTTGGGGAGAACGGGGAGAAATCTAGTGAAAATCTATTATTTCCGCAAAAATACTGAGCGAAAACTACCGTCGTTAAGGCGTTGTTGATCTTATCTATGGTTGTTGATTTTGCGGTTTCCTGTGGTTTCGTCTTTTGTTTTGGCCTTTACAGGGCCTTTGAGATCGTCAAAATTGATGACATTGACAAAAAAAGTGAAATATTTTTTTCTAAGGCCAGTTTTACACTATATGAAAATTTCGTATAACAGAATCTTTAGTTTTTGCATCAGAAAATTAAGGGTTGAAAATAAAAAAGTATACAAACCTCGACGGAAAACTTCATTTCTGTCTCGAGGTTGAGTTTATCTCGACGCTTCGCGTCTCGATAAACTATAATAACCTCTCGACCAGCAATGAAGTATTTTCCGTCTCGGATTGTAATATACTATTATTTTCAACCACATATGTAATGTTGACATTGCAGGTTTTTCAAAATCTTGAAAGTGTCACATTTCTGGACTTTGACATTTATCGGGACGGTAATGCATATGCCTGCCTAGGACGGAAAAGCATTTTCCGTCCGGGACGGCAAATGCTTTTCCGTCCCCATTTCCCTGCTCGTTCCAAATTGATAATTTTCATACAGCTCTCACATATAATAATAAAACCACATGTATTACATGGAACTAATTAAATCTATTCACTTATTTACATTAATTGTTAAATTAGCATTGTTGTTTATAATGGAAATCTTGAGACCATCCTGTTGGAATTGTGTTTCGTTTGGAACTATTATCTCTTGCGCTTGCGGATGAGTTTCCGCATGTGATGTACTTGTGGATGCACTGGACAACTGAATACCTTTGGAAGTAGAGGATAGCATCAGAGCAGTCTTACTTTTGTTCTCCAAAGATGCCTCTATGTAGCCTTCAGCAACCGTGCTCGATTTCCACCCTCCCAGTCTTTTGAGTTGCAATAGATCGGCCCCGTTGTCAACCAATAAGGTTGCGGAAGTACGACGAAAAGCATGCCCTGTAAAAGTTTCAATTTTTGGAAGCTTCAAAAAAGCAGCTATTTTATGTGGAAATTTTGAGATTGAATGATAGCCAATTGCTTGGTTATGTAATTTCCCATTTCGCCATTGAACAAATAACCTGTCATTTTTCAAATTTTTCCGCAAAGTGAGGTATTTGTGGAAAATAGCAACCCAATCTGGATCGCTTATGATAAACGATCGACTTGTGTAAGTTTTTGTGTGTGGAATTTCTATAGCGATCTTTCCTTCCAAAACGTTGACGTGCTCCATTTTCATCTTGACTAGTTCATCGCTCCTACATGCACCCGACACACCAACAATTAGCGCTACCTGAAACCAGATAAAAATAAAATGGGTAACCTAGCTATAGCATACAGAAAATCATTTTGATTTTCGCATTTTTATCTTCTTTGTATATTTTTTGAAAACCTACCTTGATGCTAATGAATTCTTCAGCTGCCTTCGTGAGGAACTCGTTAATGTTTTCTCTGGAAAAAACGCTCGACTTTTTCGGCTGAAAGCCCAGATTTTGCCGCTTCAAAAAAGCTATAAGTTTTGCGTAATTGGAGATATCAACTTTCTCTTTCAATTTAATCATGGTTTTCAACATACTGTAAGTCGACCATAAAGTCGAAGGCTTCTTTTCCTTAGATAATTCGCCAAAATACGCCAACAAAACGGTCTCCGAGGCAGTATTTCTCGTTCCTTTCTGGCTACACCATGCTTCGAATATTTGAAAAGCCTTTTCGTACCGAAATTTGCTTTTTGCTGGAAGCAAACTCTCTCCAATCCTGTCTGCTGCTTCTTTTAATTCAGGTGGGGTACAATCCATCGCTTCATCTTCACTTTCCGAAATCATTTCTTTGGGGAGAACGGGGAGAAATCTAGTGAAAATCTATTATTTCCGCAAAAATACTGAGCGAAAACTACCGTCGTTAAGGCGTTGTTGATCTTATCTATGGTTGTTGATTTTGCGGTTTCCTGTGGTTTCGTCTTTTGTTTTGGCCTTTACAGGGCCTTTGAGATCGTCAAAATTGATGACATTGACAAAAAAAGTGAAATATTTTTTTCTAAGGCCAGTTTTACACTATATGAAAATTTCGTATAACAGAATCTTTAGTTTTTGCATCAGAAAATTAAGGGTTGAAAATAAAAAAGTATACAAACCTCGACGGAAAACTTCATTTCTGTCTCGAGGTTGAGTTTATCTCGACGCTTCGCGTCTCGATAAACTATAATAACCTCTCGACCAGCAATGAAGTATTTTCCGTCTCGGATTGAAATATATTATTATTTTCAACCACATATGTAATGTTGACATTGCAGGTTTTTCAAAATCTTGAAAGTGTCACATTTCTGGACTTTGACATTTATCGGGACGGTAATGCATATGCCTGCCTAGGACGGAAAAGCATTTTCCGTCCGGGACGGCAAATGCTTTTCCGTCCCCATTTCCCTGCTCGTTCCAAATTGATAATTTTCATACAGCTCTCACATATAATAATAAAACCACATGTATTACATGGAACTAATTAAATCTATTCACTTATTTACATTAATTGTTAAATTAGCATTGTTGTTTATAATGGAAATCTTGAGACCATCCTGTTGGAATTGTGTTTCGTTTGGAACTATTATCTCTTGCGCTTGCGGATGAGTTTCCGCATGTGATGTACTTGTGGATGCACTGGACAACTGAATACCTTTGGAAGTAGAGGATAGCATCAGAGCAGTCTTACTTTTGTTCTCCAAAGATGCCTCTATGTAGCCTTCAGCAACCGTGCTCGATTTCCACCCTCCCAGTCTTTTGAGTTGCAATAGATCGGCCCCGTTGTCAACCAATAAGGTTGCGGAAGTACGACGAAAAGCATGCCCTGTAAAAGTTTCAATTTTTGGAAGCTTCAAAAAAGCAGCTATTTTATGTGGAAATTTTGAGATTGAATGATAGCCAATTGCTTGGTTATGTAATTTCCCATTTCGCCATTGAACAAATAACCTGTCATTTTTCAAATTTTTCCGCAAAGTGAGGTATTTGTGGAAAATAGCAACCCAATCTGGATCGCTTATGATAAACGATCGACTTGTGTAAGTTTTTGTGTGTGGAATTTCTATAGCGATCTTTCCTTCCAAAACGTTGACGTGCTCCATTTTCATCTTGACTAGTTCATCGCTCCTACATGCACCCGACACACCAACAATTAGCGCTACCTGAAACCAGATAAAAATAAAATGGGTAACCTAGCTATAGCATACAGAAAATCATTTTGATTTTCGCATTTTTATCTTCTTTGTATATTTTTTGAAAACCTACCTTGATGCTAATGAATTCTTCAGCTGCCTTCGTGAGGAACTCGTTAATGTTTTCTCTGGAAAAAACGCTCGACTTTTTCGGCTGAAAGCCCAGATTTTGCCGCTTCAAAAAAGCTATAAGTTTTGCGTAATTGGAGATATCAACTTTCTCTTTCAATTTAATCATGGTTTTCAACATACTGTAAGTCGACCATAAAGTCGAAGGCTTCTTTTCCTTAGATAATTCGCCAAAATACGCCAACAAAACGGTCTCCGAGGCAGTATTTCTCGTTCCTTTCTGGCTACACCATGCTTCGAATATTTGAAAAGCCTTTTCGTACCGAAATTTGCTTTTTGCTGGAAGCAAACTCTCTCCAATCCTGTCTGCTGCTTCTTTTAATTCAGGTGGGGTACAATCCATCGCTTCATCTTCACTTTCCGAAATCATTTCTTTGGGGAGAACGGGGAGAAATCTAGTGAAAATCTATTATTTCCGCAAAAATACTGAGCGAAAACTACCGTCGTTAAGGCGTTGTTGATCTTATCTATGGTTGTTGATTTTGCGGTTTCCTGTGGTTTCGTCTTTTGTTTTGGCCTTTACAGGGCCTTTGAGATCGTCAAAATTGATGACATTGACAAAAAAAGTGAAATATTTTTTTCTAAGGCCAGTTTTACACTATATGAAAATTTCGTATAACAGAATCTTTAGTTTTTGCATCAGAAAATTAAGGGTTGAAAATAAAAAAGTATACAAACCTCGACGGAAAACTTCATTTCTGTCTCGAGGTTGAGTTTATCTCGACGCTTCGCGTCTCGATAAACTATAATAACCTCTCGACCAGCAATGAAGTATTTTCCGTCTCGGATTGTAATATACTATTACAAGTCAGTAGAATTATTTATTTTTGAAAAATCGGTTTTATCACAAGAATAATTGCTTGTAGGTACCTTCTGGGAGACTTTTCTGGTGATAAACTGTTGGCTACGACTGCAGCTTCATTAATAATATCTTGTAATAAATTCATTTCTGGAAAAAAATTGCAAAATGGAAATCTGTCAAAAAACCTATTTATAACTAGAAACAACGTCTTAACAACGTATCATTCTCATAGTTATACCAACTACCAAAACTTCTGTGAGAAAAAATCAAGGAAAAACATATAAATTTCAAATTTTTGTTATGTATTGATTTTTTATTTGTCCCTATATCTTTTACAAATGAGTAACAAATAAATTATTGTACATTATACGCCAGGTAGCAGTTTTTACTGGCTCTTGAAGGAGACAAGCTCGCCTGGCGGCTCGCTAGTCATTTCCTTCAATCGCCAGTAAAAACTGTTTTACCTGGCTAATAATGTAAAATACTATTAGCGTTTTATAATTGTTATCAATATTTTGTTATTAAAAAATGGATTTTCAAATTAACTATACTTCATGCCTAGTAATTTCGCTTTTTTATAATTAAACGTGGCAACATGGCACATTTACGTCAGAATTCCTTCCGTAGACTCAGATCCACTGGGCAAACAATAAGTAGTCAAGTCAAGCAATAGAAATAATAGAAGAAAATTAGAGATTTAAAAAAAACACAATACACTGATGAAAATGATTATTACTACCAATTTTTTTTTTTTTAGCATGGCTCTCATAAAAGCATGGAAGCCTTGGAAAGGGGTTCAAGGGCAGTTGAAGTAAGTAAATTTCGCCTTCCATTATCACAGGTTTCAAAACTTTGACTATAATTGTTTCAGGATTCGCTATCGAATACAATCTTGGATCAGGAGGATAAAGATATTAATATGACCCATGATTATCCTGTGTCGGCCGTAAGTAGCTAAAAAGTTTTTTTTTGTTTAAATTTCGTGTATATACTTTATTTTCTACTTTACTATTATAGATCCATAATACCTAGGAAACGAAATACGTTAACACACCTATAACAACCTGATCCATAACGCCCGCTTTTGCGGGCGTTATGATCTATAACGCCCGCTTATAATACCTTAAGGTGTTTTTGTTGTTGTTGTTCTATTAATTTGCACTTTACCCTAGGCAGCCACTAAATGTCTGACCGAAAATAATTTTCGGTCTAGCCAGGATTCGAACCCGGTCTACCATCAATGTTTCCCATGTAGTCCAGCGCGTTAACCCACAGGACCACCACCGTTGCCTTGCCTTATGAGATGTTTATAGATATATTAATTTATTTCGTTTCTATGTACAGGTCGCAGGTACAGGTACAGGTCACAGGTGCAGGTACATGTCAAAATACAAAACAATATTCTGTCACACAAGTTTAACTGATTTTGTTAATAACAAATTGATGAAAAAACATTGTGTTGAGTAGAAAATAAAGCATTGTATGCACCACGGGGATTTCAAGATTATAATGCCCTTCAGGCGAAATAGTTTCGCCTTCGGGCATTATAATCTACATAATCCCCTTGGTACATAAATAGCTATAATAGTACAAACAGTGGAAATAATGTAAGAAAATTAGAGGGAAAAAAAAGTCACTATAGACTAATAACAATGATGATCAATGCTACCTTTAATTTATTCTTTTTCAGCATGGATTTCATGAACCCATGGAAGCACTGGGAAAACTTTCTAGCGCAGTTTTGGAGGTAAGTGAATTTTTCCAACCATTATCAAAAGTTTTACATTACACCAATGAGTAATGACGTAAAACGTTACTCTATTGAAGAGTTCTTCAAATAAAGCTAGTCTAAATGTATGTATGACCAAATTTGTAAATGTTTCTTTATATTTATTTTATTGCCTTCTATAGTTTAATAGTTGAAAGTGGTACAAGTTTATGGAAGAAAAGTTTTAGTGAAAATTTGTGATATTTGCTTTTTTTACCTTTTTGTATCTCTAATCTTTAGTATTTATTGTGCTACTTTGGAACTTCCATTTTTCATTTTTTTCTATATCTACTGTTTAACTTTGTCAATAAGAACTGATACGTTTATCTAGTTTCTAGACAATAAATTACCTTCAGTCTATCAATCGATTTATGGTACTACATTTAAATTATTCTTTTTTAGCATGGCTCTGATGAAAGTATAGATGCACTGGAAAGATTTTCTAGGGCAGTTGAAGTAAGTAAATTCCTCCATCCATCAACCAAAGTTTTATTACATTCGGTAATTTTGTTTCAGGATTGTCCATCGGATACAATCCCAAATGAAGCGGATGACGACTTTAACAAGGCCTCTGATACTGAACCAGCATCGGCTGTAAGTAGCTAACAAGTGTTTTTTGGTTAAAACGACATAGCGTAAGTTTAATAATTTTTTGCCTAAAAGTAAAATGTCCAAAACTGTTTGTTGTTTGATGAATAAGGACACTATTCAATTAAATCCAATTAGGTATGCATATTATGTAGCGGCATGTGCTTCTTCAAATTGAAGCCTAGGAAACAGACAAACTTTTTTTATTTTTTTTAAAAGCCATCGTGATAAGTAAATTATTGAGGCCTAACTCGAACTTTTTGAAAAACACTGTGAAACCTACATGATAGGTCCTTGAGCATTCAGCATTCTACCCATTAGGAGCTTCTCATATAGAAAATTTTACCCGGCATGGTACAGTATCCGCCAAAATAAACAGTACCGAACATATACCTAAATTATATCATTTATTTATTTGTATCATGCATATAGGTATGTTCAAAAAACGCATCATAGCGACGCAAAAAAGCTTCATAACGATTCTGCAAATCATTGAAAATATTTATTAAAATAGGCTGCTGAAATTTTTCTGAGACTTGTTTCAAACTTGAGTCTTTATTCCTTCCAAATCCGTATGACCGGAAATAGTGCTCTACTAAGAAAACTGTTTCTGAAGTTGAAAGATACATAATGACGAAGAATTTAACCTGAACTTAATGTCAACCTCATAGCTAATCCCAAATAAGCGAAACATGATAAATGCAATTTGCGTGCGCAATTACTCAGAGCGCTAGATTTCGGCTTTATTTTGGGGGATACCGTATTTACAAATGCTAGCGTGTGTTGGCACCAGAGTGTTGAAATCTGTGAGGTTTTGGAGAAACAGTACATTTACAAATACTAACATATTTGGACACTAGAGTGTTTATAAGGTATTAATAAACGACAAAACGTTATTAGGATATTAAAAAAAATTATCAACGCAAATGAATCTCTGTTGACTTAGCCCCCCCCCCTCAAATTTAAATTTTTTACTTTGTATTTATTTTTCAAACAAAACAAAAAAGCAACTTATTTTTGTCTGTTTGGTCTAAATAGTCATTTCAGTCTTTGGAATTAGAGTTTTTGTTTTTCTTTTTAAATTATATCTTATATTATAAAAGCAGTAGTCCTAACAAAAATGCAATCTTGCAAAGAGATTCCGTGGCAGAATGCATGTGATCTCCTCCATCTAATATTGGAAGTTTTAATAAATTAACTGTTCCTGTTTCAGAAATTATCAACAACTGAAATCCCAGATTGGGCCGAAAGTGCAGAACTAGCGGGCGTTGGTCTTCAAAAGTCTTCTCGAGCAGCTAATGATAATGTATGTGAACTAATCCATCTATTATCGAAATTTTAATGAATCTACTTTGAATGTATTTCTGTTTCAGCCTCTATTAGCGAATGAAATACCATATGGGGCAGGCGATGTCTCTTATGTGTCAATGTCAGATCTGGGGACTCTACAGTCAAAGGTAAGTAGTTAAAGTTATTTTTGAACTGCTGTCTATGACAGAGATGTCCGACAAAGTAGGTACCCAAAGTATGTTTTTTTTTTAACTACCATTATTGATATTATGTGGACATTTACAAATGTGAAATTGTCATTGAGGTGGAATTTTTTACGGGGAAAAGCTTGCGGTTGTGTTGCCAACAATATCAATAATGTCAGAAGACCTTATTCTAGGATTTGGCATCAGAAAAGCTAATACACAAATTAGCTGTTGACAAGACCAAGACGAGTCGGTGGTGAAAATTGGGGGGTTTTCAGTTGATTTTAAATTTAATTTTTCCTATTATGCGAAGTTTTGCTTACATATAAAGTTATGCTTGGTTATGATATACGAAAATATTACATATAATCCAAAATTGAAATAAAAGAAGGGGCTGTTTATACAACTAAAAATAAAAATCGACGAGTGCGAGTTTTTACCTGGAAAATAATTATCAAATTTTTCAATGAATTTATTTCAACCCTTTTGAGCTCTCTGTATAACCCACACAATCGTCAACATTCTCAATTATAATTGTTTAATTTTTATATTCAGTTGGCTACAAGTGCCAGTGCGCGGAGTTCCATTAAATTGTCATCGGATGATACTGAGGGGAGTTCCAATGAATTGGATGAAAACCAAACAGTTTTATCACAGGGTAAGAATAATAACCACAGGCACAATCCCAACTAAAAAGTATAAAAATCAGCGACAAACAGTAATGCTATATTGGCGATTTCCAGAAAACACGTGGGCTTGTTGCTTTTTTTATTTTGATAAATCATCTCCAGATATACCATTACTTTTTTGCGCCTTTTTCACATCGCTCATTGGTACGGAATCCAAGTGAAAAACTCCTCATTATCCTGTACCATGCAGTTTCCTAACATCGTTTTATTTCAGTTCCTGAAGTCCAACAATATAGGCTACCTAGCCCGAAAATATCAGGATCACAGAACAATATTAGACCTCTTTGTGATATAGTTGAACGTAATTTTGTACCAGCTGAATATTCCACACCAGTTAAAAAGTCCTGGATGGTTTATCTTGACAGTTCCAGTGAAGATGATTTCAAGACAAGAGCAAAAAGTTAGTCTAAACGATTTTACAAGAAACTACATTCTTAGTTATCTGTCAATTACCTCTACTTACATTTCTTGCTTCTATCAAAACTTTACACGCATATTTCTAAAGTATGCGTTCAAAATTTCAAACAAGCTGTTCATTCATAAATGCGAACAAATGTATAAAGGTGTTTTCCAATAATTATTTCATCATGACAGAACCTTTTATGAAAAATTATTCATAACGCTCTTCAATTGTTTTATTATTTTGGCGAACATCTTGTATAGGAAATTTAAGGATTAAGAGTTGATTTCCAAAATTCATCCGGCGTCAGAACTAGACTTTTTTTGATACAGAATAGAGTTATTCCTGAATGTTTTAGGTGTTTTTCTTTTTTTAGAAGATCAAGCCAAACCAAAAACCAAGTTTGCTCCCATCAAAAAACGCAATCGTGTTAGACAATTAGTTAACAGAGAGAGGGGTTTACACAAACCTATGCCAGATAACGTAAGTTTTTCTTTATTTACAAAGGAAATCTACACAGTTTTCCATTTATTATTATTGAAACATGATTATTTTCAAGAAACCATTGAGTTACAAGTGCAGCCGTGGCTTCGAAGACGAAGGCGAAATGTCTATTGAACAAGTCGAATTGCATAGTGACACTACAAACCAAAGCGATCAGGAAGCAAACAAACCTCAAAAACCTGTAGATTTTAATCAAATTGTTCTGGATGAAAATACTCCTACGGTTAAGGTGGATGAAACAGAAATACTTGGCAGAGAGGGAGTTTTACATAAATCCATTCTAGAGAAGGTAAATTTTTCTTTATTTATAAAGGAAATTCTACACAATTTTTCATTTATAATTGTTAAATCATAATTATCCCCAAGAAACCGTTGAGTTACAATGGCAGCAGTGGCCTTGAAGACGAGAAAGAAAATGCCAAAATATCTATTGTACAAGTTGAAGTCCATAGTAGCACTACTAATCAAAGTGATCAGGCAGCAAAAAGTTTTATGGATCAACATCAAAAACGTAAAGATTCTGATCACATTGTTCTCGAAGAAAATGCTCCGACAATTAACACGGATCAGACAGAAAATAACACGGAGAGAAAACTTTATGATTCAACAAATATTTTGGAAGAAACCATGGAAGGTGAAGTAAATTATTTTATAGTTTTTTTTCTTGGTTATAGGTTTATTGGTATAGAACAAAATAGTATATTGTGTATTTAGGTGGAAAAGTGACACATTCTCGGCCGACGGTGTAAGTTGACGGGCGAGGCGTAGCCGAGGCCAGCAAACACCGAAGGCCGAGAATGTGCTTTTCCACCAAAATACACATACTATTTTTTCTGAGATCGATTAAATATCTGTTAAACGTTTGTATTTTTGTTCCAATTGTTCCTGCCTAGGCCGGAAAAGTGATTCTCGTATTGTTATTCATTGATTCCTTAGCAACTATTGAAACATAATTGAAATACCAGAATATTGGGTTTTGCGACCTGTCAACCGGTCAAAAATGTTGAAATTTCTTCTCAATCTCAGAAAAAGGCTTTTTTCTGCGATTGACAAAAGAAGTCAACATTTTTGACTGGTTGGCAGGTCGCAAAACTCAATATTCTGGTATTTCAATTATGTTTCAATAGTTGCTAAGGAATCAATGAATAACAATACGGAAAACACTTTTCCGGCCTAGGCCGGGAAAGTGATTCTCGTATTGCTGAATAATTGGAGCAAAAAAACAAACATTTAACAGATATTTAACCGATCGCAGAAAAAATAGTATGTGTATTTCGGTGGAAAAGCACATTCTCGGCCTTCGGTGTTTGCCTGCCTCGGCTACGCCTCGCCTGTCAACTTACACCGTCGGCCGAGAATGTGTCACTTTTCCACCTAAATACACAATATACTATTTTCTGCGATTGACATGAAATGTCAGCATTTTTGACCGGTTGACAGATCGCAAAACTCATTATTCTGGTATTTCAATTATGTTTCAATAGTTGCTAAGGAATCAATGAATAACAATACAGGAAACACTTTCCCGGCCTTAGGCCGGGAAAGTGATTCTCGTACTGCTGAATAATTGGAACTAAAAGACAAACATTTAACAGGTATTGAACCGATCGCAGAAAAAATAGTATGTGTATTTCGGTGGAAAAGCACATTCTCGGCCTTCGGTGTTTGTCGGCCTCGGCTACGCTTCGCCCGTCAACTTACACCGTCGGCCGAGAATGTGTCACTTTTCCACCTAAATATACAATATACTATTAATTAAAACAAAAATTTTGAATTATATTAAAAATAGTACATACCTCGAACTTATTGAATCTTCTTCATAGTCAAATGGTTTATTTTATGAGAAGGAATGCAAATGGAATTCAATTTTTTGGTATATTTTTTTTTTAAAAGACCATGCACGGATCTTATGAGAAAAAATAAATTTCATGATTGTCATGAAATTGAAATATGTTATGGTTCTCGACTTCCTGAACGTAAGTTCTCGTAGGCCCAAAAAGATCCTATGATTAGTTTAGGAGATACAGGGCCGGGTTAACATACATAATTTTGACAAACAATGCATATTTCAAAATATGTTGAGTTTAGGCAATGACATATTCTAGGTTAAAAACGCGTGGAAAAATGCCAAAGTGATGTCATCTGAAGCTTTGAAGGTTAAAAACTTGTCAAAAAATGCCAAAAATATGTCATTTTTGGTTATGAATTAAATTAATGTACCAGCAGATTCTGGAGATTTTTCTTGTTCTACTTTTTTTTATCGGTCCTGTATCTCCAAAACTAATCATAGGATCTTTTTGGGCCTACGAGAACTTACGTTCAGGAGTTCGAGGAGCATAACATATTTCAATTTCATGACGATCGTGAAATTTATTTTTTTTTCTTAAGATCCGTGCGTGGTCCTTTCTTTATCTTGTTGTGTTTAACTTATGGAACCGTTGGAAACCGTTCAAGCACTAAATACGAAAGTTATAGTAGTGTAGTTCTACGTATAAATCAAGTTATGATATCGGGTCTTCAAAAAAAAACCAATCAAAGATTGCTATGGTTTTTTGAACGTACGTCTTAGCAATATTTTTCTTTAATTTTGACAATGTCAGTCAATGAAATTTAATGTCAAAATGTCATGTCAAAAATCCTGACCAATAAACAAACAATAATGCGACGTACGTTTTCGTAACCAAAGCAATCTTTGATTGGTTTTTTTTTTGAAGACCCGATATCATTTTCCATTTTCAGCCGTTTTCTATCCTTAGGATATAGGCCTCTTTCAAATTTCACCATTGTCTTCGGTTTTGTGCAACTCGGTACCAATTCAAGCCTGCAACCCTCTTTATATCGTCGTACCATCTTTGTTGGGGTCTTCCAACACTTCTCCTCTCTTCCCAAGGTCTCCATCTAGTGATATACCCGCTCCAGTTTTCTGTATGTCTGGCCACGTGTCCTGCCCATTGCCATTTTAGGGAACCAATACTTTTTATTATGTCGGAGAGAGAAGATGTACTTTAACTTGCTGTAAGCTGCCCATCCCAGTCTAATTCTCCTATCAATTTCCATTTCTTGATTTTGTTTGCCCGGTGTTATAGCTTGGCCAAGGTATATGTATGTTTCTGTCTTTTTTATTGTGCTGTTATGGATCGGTATTGTTTCGTCTGCATCTGGTGTATTTGTAATAAACTGGGTCTTTGTGTAGTTCATGTGTAATCCTACTTTTGCCGCCTCATCTTGTAGTTCTTCCAACATATCTATCAATTCCTGTTTGTCTTTCGCGAACAGTACAATATCGTCGGCAAATCTTAGATTGTGCAGGCGTTCACCATGTATTAGTCTAAGAGCCAACGCCGAAAAAATTCTCTGAATTTACTAAAGTTAGTTTTTGGACAGTTGATTACAGTATTTACGTACATAAACATACCGCGGTCAGTCAAGCGAAACTTGGGACAAGGACCCAGGGTTTCTTGTTAAAGGTGTCGAGATAACTTGGGTAATGCAACGAATTTACTAAAGCTGAAAATTGTTATACATATTATATATAACATATAAATAACAGTAGTGTTAGTCAGTTGAATAGCGGGACCGTGCTGGTCAGTCAGCCCCAATAAATGTAAAAATCTGCAAAAAATATTAATATTACTGAACAACCTACAATTTTGAATTAGCACTGTCACGCTATCACTCTAAAAAAAATAGACCAGAGCTGGGCAAAGCCCTCAGTAAAAGGGCTTGAAGCACCAAGCCCTAAGCCCTCTATCAAAGTGCTTCAATTTCAAGCACAAATTCCTTTTTATTTTCAAAAGTGCTTCAGAAGCACAAAGCCCTCAAAGTGCTTTGGGCTTGACAAGCACAAAGCCCTCAAAGTGATTTAAAAAGTGCTTGAAGCACTTCAAAAGTGCTTGGGGTGCTTTGAAAAGGGCTTGAAGCTCTTTAAATGTGCTTGAAGCTCTTTAAATATGTCTAAAGCACTTTGAATTTGTAATAAAATTCTCAAAGTGGCATAAGCTACCGCGCACACTCATCACACAGAATTGGTATAGTAGAGACGAACTTTACATTTCACAGAGTAGCAGTAGTATGTTTTTTTTGAGATGTAGTTCTGGGGTACTTGGGGTAGTTGGGGTACTACATGGTAATTAAATTTTAAGGTTTTCAAAATGTTCAATGGGGAAAAGTGAAAAAAATCCAGTGATAAAGTTAAATAGGGTACCAATATAAATTAATTATTTATTTGAATAATAAGTTCATTCATTTTTTTTTAATTCCATTCTAAGCTCAAGCCCAAAACCTCCATTGTTAAGAGAGAAAAGACATAAGACGGTTCAAGTTCAAATAATAGAAAAAAAAATGAAGGGACAAAACACGATCGAAAATTTTTAAGTGGGGGATAGGTTGAATGATGGTCAATTCAAATTCCTTTCAAATTGCTTCAAGCCCTTTTAAAGTGCTTCAAGCCCTTTCAAAGTGCTTCAAGCTCCCAAAAGTGCTTCAAGCCCACTTGAAGTGCTTCAAGCCCACTTGAAGTGCTTCAAGCCCACTTGAAGTGCTTCAAGCCCACTTGAAGTGCTTCAAGCCCACTTAAAGTGCTTCAAGCCCACTTAAAGTGCTTCAAGCCCTTTCAAAGGGCTTCAAGCTCCCAAAAGTGCTTCAAGCCCTCTAAAAGTAATTGAAGCTCATTGAAAGGGCTTGAATTACTTTTTTCAATTACAAATTACCAAGCACTTTTCTAAAGTAATTGACTTTGCAAGCCCCAATTACAAATCTATAAAAGGGCTTGAAGCACAGGGCTTTCAAGTCCTCAAAGTGCTTCAAGCACTTTTGCAAGCACAAAGCACTCAAGCCCTGCCCAGCTCTGAAATAGACCTATTATTTTTTTTACATAAATAGACCTATCTATTTTTACCTAGTATGCGCGCGCAACACGAGGCAATGTCTTGTTATTGGCTGGCTAATACAGGTGTGAGGTGATCGTTTTGCACGCTGGGCATCTCTTTATCCTTGTTCATTGCACGTGGTCTGACAAGAATAAATCTAAAGTGGATATTCAACTTGACAAGTGTCATTCAAAAGTTGTTTCACATTTTCATTGACAAATACGTTGCACAACACGCGGTTTTTCCTCTTTTCTTTTTATCCTGTGCAAATAAGAAGGACGGATTACTATATGTAAGTCTAACATAATTTGGTACGTTTTGCCTCGTGTTGCGCAATGAGCGTTCTGTGTCTTTTTTTATTTAATGAAGTTTTCGTATTATCACCTCTTTGTCTAGTAAAATAGATAGGTCTATTGGGGCTGATCTACTTCAATGGGGCTGAATGACCGGCCCAGTTCCGCTATTCAACTGACTGACAAACATCACTGTTATTTATGTGTTATATATAATATGTAGAGCGATTTTCAGCCTTAGTAAATTCGTTGCATTACCTATAGTTTATTTTTTCCCAAGATAGATTTTGGCATTGTCAACTTTGAAACATAAACAATGCCGCTAATTCCGCTTATTGGTCGCTAGTGTAAAACTGATGTCAACCTGCAGAAACACCTCATTTTGCGACCAATCAGGGTCAAGCGTTATTGTTTATGTTTCAAAGTTTTCAATGTCAAAATCTATCTTGGGAAAAAATAAAGTGTAGCTATCT